TCCAAAGTGAGGAAGCCCACATTGCCACTGCTCCTGTTGTGCTGCCTATTCTGTGCAAGGACAAAGTGTTTCTTTGCCAGAGGCTGTCAACCCTGCACCTTTAAAAGCACTGAGGGGGGAAGAGAAGGATGGAAAGGAAACTTAATTTAAAACAAAGTTTAGTCCCTCCCCTGTTTTACCAGTTCCAGGTATCTATCAATAGGAAATAGATTAACTCAATTAAGTCTGGCATTTTGATTCCCTGACTCAGCCACCAAACAGCCAGACATGTGTATTATCTATGTCTTTGCTTCCAGAAGTAGCAGCCTCAAAGTAATACTTAAAGAATGCTGTTGACATCAAGCTGGCCCTTAAAGCAACCTAACTGAAGATGGGATTTGGTGACCACTGTGTATTACTCCCTTCCCCCAACTTAACCAGCTGAGCAAACTCCCTGTTCTCGCTGCTGCTCAGCCTTTAGCTCCAGAATCCTTTGTCGGGCTGCATCAAGGAAATTGTTGTGGTACCTATACAAAGGATTCTGAGCAACAACCGAGCAAGATCCTAGGACTCTTACAGCTGATTGAGCAGCCACAAGAACCAGCATTTGGGCGACCAGAAACTCTGCATCTGAAGGAACAGTTGTTCAAGTCAGGCCAATGATGGAATGATCTCAGCATTCCTGCAGTATGGTTCTGGAGATGCCTCTTTTAATGCGGCTCCCAAGGCAGCTGCCACTGGTTTACTCCTGGGACACATTACTTTCCTGGCATAATGTTGGCTGTCTCTCCTCGCTGCTTATAGTCAATAGTATATCTGAGAGGCACATCAGACAATCATGATGCTTGGTAATGTGTGTAGCACAGGTAAATGAGGTGCGCTGCTTTGGTAGCTGTTACTGCAATGATCCCTCAAGCTACTCACGAGGAAGTTTTCAAATCCAACGTCTGTCAATGCTAATCTACTCATCTCTGATTGGATTTAGTTCTAATAAATAAACTCCTTTCTGGCATCCTGTTAAGACACTATTGTGTAGTAATAAGTATGGGACATTTATGCATCTCCAAAAATACTCTGAACACCACCACCAGCAGCAGACCCTATAAAACTGCATTTTCAAGGAGTGCAAGGAATAGTTGAATTGCCTTTGTGTACTCAAAAAAGTGAGATATTTCCATTGGTGCAATTAAGCACCTAGTGAAAAGGGAAATAAGATTTAATCATTTTATTATTTTGACTGTTTAACTAAACTCCTTTTAGTTGCATTGTTTTGAAAATGTAGCCTGCAATGCTCCAAAAGAACACTCTTCTTAAATGTTTTGTGCCTGATTCTCTTCTCTCTTAGAGCAGCAAGGGAAAGACTCCTGTTGACATCAATGTGCTCTGCATTGGTTCCTAAATCAGGCGTGATTCCATTGAAGTCAGTGGAGGTCCACCCTTGTAAAAGTGCTGTAAGGGAGGAGAATTAGGCTCATAAAATAAAACAAAACAAAAAAACTCCCACAACATTGCTTTCATTGTACATTTCATGAAAAAGACTTGCCTGTCAACATGTTGAAGCTGCAGCGCGTCCATTGGTCAGTGTCTATGTTATAAGAGTCTATGTGGCGTACAAGAATCCGATCATTATTGTAGTCCAAATCATTCCCGCCTAAAACATAAAGTCTCCTTTGGACAGCAGCCATGGAATGGTACACTCTCCTCTGTAACATGGGGCTTCGGCTTATCCACTTATTCTAGAAATGTAAACAAAGAAAAACTGGTCTTAGGCTCAGCAGTCATTGGAGACTTGCAAGTGCTACGAGTGTCATATATCCCTCTTGCGTAAATATATTGCTAAATTTGAATGTTACTTAGAACAGCAGGTCAACTGATTGGACACCCACACCATAGCTGGCAATCTTTGTAGCTCTGTATTTTAATATTTATCTTTTGGGAGAATTCAGAGGTTTTTTCCACTTCTTTAGAATGTAGCCGTGTGGTAAATGTTGTCTTTGGTTATACTTCAAGCATTGTTGGTTTGATAGGATAAGAGGACAGATGGAGGACACAACCAAATGTTGATTTCTTAAGTGTAACGGAACCATGAAAATGGTGATACAACAGGAGCACAGGTGAGCCAGGGACTTTTCTCTCATGGACACAACATAGTATTTCCACCATCCCCCAAAACATTAACTTTTTTCATCTTATCTCCCTTTATCCTTTATTTTAGAATATATTGAAAACATCTTATTTCATGACATATGGTAAATCTGAATTACTCATGGACAGATTTTAATCAAGGGATAGATTCCAAGCAAGAGTGTAGATTACAATTATAATTTTCATCTGTTACACTTATTTAATATTATATTGTATCTGTGCTGAAAGAGTCATGATAAAATTTCTGAAAGACTAAAGGTTTCAGATGTTGCTCTCTCATGTCACTATTAAAAAAAAAGCGGTGCGGACGTGTTTCAGTAAGAAAGTATTAGATCTCTCCTCTGCATATAGCATTGAAAACTGGAACAGTAAGCTATATCAGGGCTAGAAGAGGGTTTTTTTCCCCGCCCTTCATTCAGAAACTTATTTGGTTTTTATCTTTAGGAAGCAAAGGAACGGGGAAAAAAAATCTCATAGCATCTTACCAAAGTATTCGTGCATTCCGTTTTGTTTTCTTTATCCCTCCATATTTTGATTTAATCATTTATATAAGAAAAATGTTTTTGAATATGTATTAACCAGGAAGGAGGCACTGCAGGAGTTTTACTACTTTTTTAGGGGTAAAAAGACATGAAACTTTAAGAGTCAGAAAATAACTGCTCCAGCTACCTTTAACAGTCAAACAACCTGCTACAAAAAGTCTAATTTAGTAGTGGGAGAAGCTACAACAATTAGTCTGTGGGGTAATTTCTTATATTAAATACCCTGTAACTTGATAACTCAATAGCCTCTGACAGTGGCCTCCACAGTATATAGCTATACATTACAATATATAATATTTGAATATTAGGAATTAATTTTTGCATTAGCAGTCCAGTCCCTTGACACAAGACTATAGACACCATCTGCTTTGCAAAGCCTGCCTGCATCCCCTGATTATATCTTTAGCTTCCTCCACTGCAGTGCCTGCCAGGTGAGCCGCCAAGCACTGCAAAGGCAAAGAAACAGAGGGGCCTGGTGGGGTCATTCCTAATAAGCCAGCGTGTGAATACTAATCAGTGGTGGGGAAGCAGAGGTCACCGCAGCCTGCTTGTTGGCAGGTAGCTGTGTGCTCTGTGGCAGATGGCAGGCATTATCGACTCTCCACAAAGGCCTACCACAGAAACAAGCACTACTGCTGAATGATAGAGTTATTGAGATTCTGTGCAAGATGCAAGCAGATGTGATGTTTTCCAGTACCCACCGTAAACAATATGCCAGCAGAATTTTTAAAAAGAGCATGTGTGTACAAACATGAAGCAGACCTCATTTAAAGAATGCTAACACATTCTTCCTCTTTAACTGTTTGTGTTTCAGACTTGCCCTCCTGCAATTAGCAATTTACGCTGAAGTAGCCAAGCCACAGATATTTTTAGTGTGCGTCTGCTGAGACTACCTGAGCAACTAAGGAATCTAGGCAAAGCATACACAACACAAAAAGGAGGCAATGTTTAGAAGTATGATGCCCAAATCACAAGCAAAATAAGACTGTATCCTGTGATCACTGTGGGCACAGATTTATAACAGAACCTCTGTATAATCAATAACAACATATTGTGCCCTTTAAAAGAAATTGTTAACTGTGATTCCTATAGCCAAATTCTGCTCTTGGATACAGACGTGGTGCTCCCCATAAAATCAATGGGAGTCACACATAAGTATCTGTTGGCAGAATTTGGCTTTAAATATAAAACTCAAAGCCCCTATCCAGCAATCAGAAGTCAATATCCTTCTATAGGGGCATAAGAGTACACCCATGCTGATGTGACTGTAGGATTAGGATGTTTGTTTCCCTAATACAGGAGGAAAGGACATATTACCATGTCCCAGTGCTCTGAAGTTGTTACTGGAGAATTCTAATCTAATCAAAACACATACATAATGTATGACCAAATTCCTAAAAGATATTTTTGGTGCTCAGATAATAAAGAGATAGGCACTTCAGCAATATAAAAAATGGTTAGATTTCTTTTTTTTTAACAATAATATCTATTTTAATCAACTGCTTTGCAATAAATCAGTTTAACAGATCACTGATGGGCAGTGTAGGTCCAAAATTATGTTTTTGTGGTAAATGAAAATTTTACAAACCCTATTATTAATAGAAATAGTTTCATGTTCATCAAAACACTTTTGTTTGGTTTTACACATTTCTCTGTGGCATGTGGAGCACAAATATCGCAACACTGGGCTACCATTGGAGAACCAGTATATGAAACTGACTAGTTTATTTGCATTGTCCAAGGCTAATGGTTTGCAAAAATCAAAAAAGCAGACTAAATGGTGATAAATACAGTAGATTTTTAACATGTTTTCAGTGTTGCTAATCTAAGACGCTTCTAGTAACCCAGTTAAGGAGTGTTATTTTTTTTAAACAGTCGCCCTTATTCTCTGTTACTCTGTACATGTATACTCATTTGCAACAGTGGAAAGCAGGTATAAACCACTAGTAGTTTGAATTGGCAGTATTTTTGATCTGCCAGTATTCTCTAATATACATGTGTTATATAGCTTGTCCATGCAAACATATAAGCAAAACCTACAACATAGAAACTCACCTGCTTAGGATCATATACCATTAGCCTGTTCTGGTATTGTGCAGTATTTGTTACTCCTCCTACAAGAGATTTTACATGGGTTAAAATATTTTCATGAGTACCAAAAAGGACCAAGATCTTAGTAAAGCAAATCAATCACATTTAGGACTATAATTTTATATACCACAGTATTAAGTCTACAACATAATTATATTACTTATTACCAGTTTTACTTTCACACAGTTAGACCTTTTGATCTAGTTAATAACTAGCACAGCTGATCCATGTTGCCAGAATACAAGGCAAAACAAAAACAAACAAATAAAATAATTGATCTCTCTCTGTAAAGCTAATACCTTGGGCTAAAACATGGTACAACAATACTATTTGTTTAGTACACTGACCAGTCTTCAAATGTACTAAGGACTATTATAAAGAGCATGGTTCAATTGTTCTCCATGTCCATTGAAAGCCGGACAAGGAGTAATCAGCTTAATCTGCAGCAAGGGAGATTTAGGTTAGATATTAGAACAATCTTTCTAATTAGAAGGATAGTTAAATTCTGGAATAGGCTTCCATGGGAGTTTATGGAATCCCCATCACTGAAGGATTAGACAAGAATAGGTTTGTTAGATAATCACCTGGCACAAGTGACCCTGGTCACTCCTTGGTCCTACCTCAGTGCCGGGGGCTGAACTAGATGCCCTCTCAAGGTCCCTCCCAGCCCTACATTTCTGTGATTCTATGTGCTCAAGCCTGTTCAAGACACAAAGATTAATCATAATAATAATAATCCCTAGCATTTATATAGCACTTTTAGTCAATAGATCTCAAAGTGCTTTATGAAAGAGGTCAATAGCATTATCCCCATTTTACAGATGGGGAAAAACGAGGCACAGAGAGGTGAAATGACTAAACTGTCCCTGCTCCAAGGAGTATGCAATCTAAAAGGCAGTCAAAGAGAAGAGAGGATCTATGGAGGAAACCACAGCACAGGAGAAAATTTAGGAGTTGGAGGTGGGGATTAGAGCTGTAACCAAACAGGAATGGCACTATGAGGCATCATTTTCATTTAGAAACATTGCGCTGAATCTTAGAACAACAATCACTTTCACATATAATTCTGAAAGAAAAACAAAATGAGATTTGTATATAGGAAGAGAATATCTTGCTCATAGAAGTAGCCATGTGAGTAACTAGCATATGTATGCTGTGGGCTCCTTCAACAATGGTTAAGTCTGAAACACCATTAACCATTACCAAGAAGCATATCCAAATACTGCATCCTGGCTGCTTAGCTGTCAATATAATTTACAAACAAAGATGAAAGGCACCTTCAAAATTCCCAGGATAGTTCATTTGGCCCAAATTGATGCTTCACATTACTGATTTGATATACGATAACCCTGTGCTCTCTTGGTTTTAAATGTTTGTCCTCATAGACCCCGATGCTGTAATCTGATCCACACAGGTGAAGCCCTGCACACACTCACATCATTGGGACACCACAAAGCATTGCAGCATCAGAGCCTTAGGAAATTCTTTGTGTCAGCGACAATCCTCAACTGTGCAGAGCATGGAGGAGACAAAGTGGTCTCTAAACTGATTTTTGGATTAGTGGGAGGGTGGGGTAGATCAGCCTTCAGTGCAAGTCACAGCAGTCACAGACCTGCTCTAATTTATGTTGGCTAAACTAGTCCCAAGGGGCCAATCACACATTGCGCTTCAGCTCTGCCTCCTCTTGTCCCCAGCCAACCCTGAAATGACCCTACGGTTGAGATAGTGGCCCGGAGAGCTGTCCAGAGAATTCTCCCATGCAGGAGTAATCCTCAATTGCTCTTTGTAGCACTCTGCTTACACAAAGTGACCTTAATGGGGCCCAGGATCTGACCATGTGTCTTCCTATGGGCAGAGCGCACTGTTACCTTTAAAAAAATCATAATTAATAAATAATTTACCAATATCTGCTTCCGGGCTGCTCATCAGAAAGCTATAATCATATTTCCCCTTCATCTCTGACCTCACCTTCTCTTTATTTTTTTTTAAATGTAATACTTAAAGGTAATGTCCAAAATAGAGCGATTTCCAGATATTTTGTACATAGATACTTAGAAACTTTGTATCAACATCTATATTGTCTCCATAATTTGGTTAACCTCAAGATTTCATCGTGCCCTGCTGTGATTATTTTTTAATCTCCTGGGTTAATAAATCTTGAAATTCACCTAAGCAAAAGTCAATATTTATTATACCACGTCCTATGGTCAGGAATGGAGACAGCAATGATATTACACCTGGTCATGGAAAAAAGCAAGCTACATCCTGCAATGTCAGTAGTACAACCAATTAATAGGAAAAGCCTCCCATTCAATGTCTTGCAGTTCCAGACATTTTTACACATATAGGAGAAACTAAGGACAAACATATTAAAACAAATTGCCCTTTACTGCTTGGTGATAGCACTGATTATTTATATTACAGCCACGTCTTGAGGTGCCAATCCCATTGTGCTAGGCACTGTATATGCACGTAGTAACATGTGGTCCTTGCTCTGAAGAGTTTGCAATCTAAACAGACGAGCCAGACACAGGGTGTTCTTTCAAAATATTTCCACCCTGCTACGATGTTGCTATTTACTGTCTATCACAACCTCTGTAGATTACATATGCAACAATATGCATAGGCAAGTTCTGATTATTCCCCTTCCTAACCTCAGGATACATTATGTAGCTCTGTGTTGTTGTACATCCTTGTATACTGTCAACTGTACATACAGCTACACAATGATCCTTGTATACTGTCAACTGTACATACAGCTACACAATGATCTTTTTTTCTAATCTTTGTTTTGTAATTCAATTTCTTTTGCATATTTCTTTTCTCTTGTACAGTAATATTTAGAAATGAGATGTCAGATTACTATTTTGAAACATAAAAATCAGTTATTTTGCTGAATTCCGTTAAATGTTAAACTACAGGAGGTATATTGGAAACATGATGCTGGAAAGAAAAGCCTGGAAACGGTTTTGGTTTTGTTTTGTTTGATGGAGGGGTTGCTTCCTAGTAAAATAATTCATAAATAATCAAAGAAATTAAAACCATTTCTGTTCCCCATAAAAAGCCCCTCATACCAAGTACTGTACACAGCCTACATTTTTTTCCTGCAATACTACTCATCGGTGGTGTTTTATCATTACATTCCTTTCACATGCTGCTCTTCACTTTTAGATTAATCTGCCAAAATGAGATGCTAAGGATTTGCATACAGATTTGACTACACAAAAATAGATATGGAATTAATAACAGTCTCTATATGTTTTAATTTCTTCTAGACTGGAGTACCCTTGCCTCCAGCAGTATTCTTGGCTTTGAAAGTCATCAAGCTGATTTGTCTGCTCTTAGGTTATGATGCCACATGCTGCTACACTGTCCCCTGCAATCAAAGTGCTTGCATAGATAGATTCCATGCCTTCCCCTAACAAGTATATTTTATAGATTGGCAGTTTTGATCTCCCCTCCCTAAGGGGATAATCTGCATCTTAACAGCTTTCTTTAGCTACATCTGTCATTAAATATGCCATCTTATATCAGCATCAGTTTTCAAAACCAAGTTTCTCCTAACTTTGAAGTGCTATAGTGAAAATTTTAAATTTTCTGCCAAAATTCCAGTTTAACAAGCCTGAAAGTGTCCTCTTGAACTACTGCTTTAAAAATACTGAAGGCAAAAAGGAAAGGGAGGGAAAGGGAAAAAAAGAAAATGTCTCTTAAAAAATACACAATAGGGAGAAATAAAAGTTTAAATGGTATCAACAAGGATAGCGGCTTTCCCTCATAAAAATGGAATTTCTTAAAACTTTTCTGCATTATTCTCCCCAAGATACAGGAATGCGCAAGTGATATCATCTCTATAGAGATACATTTAAAAACAAAATTCATATTAAATTCAAGTGTCAAGCCATAGCAATTACGCTGTAGTAGCTGGCTTATGTGAGAAGAAAGTCTGGGTGTAAATTACTACAGTTTGGGAAGTCCAGCCAGCATTTCCCAAATATCAGGCACTAAATAATAATAGTACATTAAATTCATTGCACTGTGACAGAAGTGATTTGATTTTGGGACCCAAAGCTTCAGTGAGGAGAGGCATTCCTCCCCAGTGGCCTCACCATGACAGCACAATGCCCAGATCTTCCTTCTGAAGGTGATAGAAAGTGAAAAGGTGGGGGTCCAACCAGCATTAGCGCCATACACCTGTCAAGGTCCTTATACTGCATTCATCAATATTGTCTAACTCCTGTGCAGATTTTGAAGTGGAAATCCATGCCAGGCCTGCCGGAGGAGTGGTGCAATATAGCAGGTACTTCCCAACTCAATCCACCCAAAAATCCTAACCACACAATTCAGATCTCAGATGCCCACCTACACAAAGAAGTTTCTGGAGAAGGCGAGAGGCTTGCCACAGAACCACTTCCCCTCCCTCTTTCACTGACTTAGCCTACATGGGGAAGACACTTTGTTCCACTGTAGACTATGAAATGATTTGTAAATTGTGTTGAATAACTTCATCCTGCAGCCCTTACTCAAGCAAGTCTCATAGAAATGTGTGTGGGTTTTGGGTTTTTTTTGCCTTAATAAGGCTTGTAAAATCAGATCCCAAGTGCAGAATATTATCCATAATACATATGTCCTAGATGCAAAAACCATCACATGACAGGGGGAATGTAATTCAATCAAAGTCCCAGAGAAAGTATCACAAACCCATTTGAAGTCCCTGAGTGCTGAATTTTTGAGTTGGCCGGGAGATGTGTAAAACCACATGTTGGCAAAGAGCTCCCATGTACATTTATTCCAGCAAGTACATGGAATATACGGTATTCATGAAATGTACCCCAGGGTACACTCTGCTATTTTCAGGAAGGAATCACCCTCTTCTCTTCCAGTTGTGTGCCAGGAACTGCAGCCAATGGGAGCTGCGGGGATAGCGCATGCAGTGCGCAGATCCCCCTGGCCCCTCCGCCTAGGAGTCGGACATACTGGCTGCTTCTGAGAACTGCCTGAGGTAAGCACCTCCTGGCTGGAGCCACACTACAAATCCCCTCCTGTACCCCAACTCCCTGCACCAGCCCTGAGCCCCCTCCCATACCCAAACTCCCTCCTGGAGCCCGCACTCCCTCCCACACCCCAACTCCCTGCCCCAGCCCTGAGCCCCCTCCTGTACCCCAAACTCATCATCCCTGACCTCACCCAAGAGTCTGCATCCCTCAGCCAGAGCCCTCACCTCCTCCTGCATGCCGAACCCCTCGGCCCCAGCCCAGAGTCCCCTCCTGCACCCCTAACTCCTCATCCCCGACCCCACCCAAGAGCCCGCACCCACAGAGGCAGCCCTCACCCTCTCCTGCACCCCCTGCCGTGAAAGTGAGTGAGGTTGGGGGAGAGCAAGCGATTGAAGGGGGGGAAGGATGGAATGAACAGGGGGTGTGGCCTAGGAGAAGGGGTGAGGCCTCGGGGCGAGACCTCGGGCCAGGGGGTGGGGCAAGATGTTTAGTTTTGTGCAATTAGAAAGTAGGCAACCCTAGCTGCTGCTCATATTTTTCCCTAAAGAAGCAGAAAAAAATTGACCAAGGTTTCGAATAGTAGCAATGAAATCCCAGGAGTCTCTGTTCAGATTTCAATCAGTTGCACCTGGAAAGGCAATGGGCAGCAACAAAGGCACCGAAGTGCCCTGTCTGCAAGATAAGTAAACAGAACTACAATGGTTTGCACTCTGTTCATGTTTGAAAGATTCTATTAGCAATCAGAGTCTAGATACATAAGTGTCATTAATGTAATTTTTTTTTTTAAAGGAAAGCTTATACTGGCCAAAATTTTCAAATTTAGGCCCAAATATTTAAGGTGACTCTCAAGGGAGTTAGGCACCTAAATATCCTGGAGATCTGGGCTTTTGTGCCTGAAATTATGTATGGATTTAGATACCTAGGCAACTAAATAGAAATGGCCTGATTTCCCCAGGTGCTGAGCACCCACAACTCCCATAGAAGTGAACAGGAGATGCGGCTACTTAACATCTCTGAAAACCAGACAACTTATTTAATCACCTATTTTTAGGCACTTACATTTGAAGTTTTTGGCCATTCTGCAGTAGCTGATTGCACTGGCTCTGAAAGCTTACTATTGACTATTGAAAAGTGGATTTTTCAAACAGCGAGTACTAATATTTTGGAATAGCAAAATATGTTCTCTGCACTATCCTCCCACTTCTTCTGCATCTACACAGAGAGCACGATTATCTGGCCCTGAGAGATTAATTAATGATAGAAAACTGACTAAAGTTATGGATAGTATCTATACACTACCTTTAAAAATACTAATATTTTCAATGTACATGTCCCACTTATTATCTTGCCTGTCCGTAACATAGATCAATACAATACTAAATGGATTTGTATCATATGCTTTAGTAATTCATAATAAGATGTCATAAGCTAGCAATCAAAAATACACAGAGTACTCTCTTATAAAGATAGAAATTAGATATAAAAGAGAAGACCTATCTAGTTCATCCTACTGCCAGTACCTTGCTCCTTACTGTGACTATACTGTACCATCCATTTTGCAGCAGAAATTCCACCGATACCAATATCAAATACAGATGGTATGATCTGATCCCGTATATTTTCTGTTGCTCTGTCCAATTTTCAATCACTCAAGCAATGGGGCATCCACCAAATTTCTTGGAAGGCTATCCTACAGTCTGATTAATGTATTTTACACATATATTTAAACACTCTACTACACTTGTTCATTAAATAAATAAGGATTTTATTGAAAGATATAAATACATATTTAATCCTGTCTATTGGGCACATTAACTGTCTTCAAAATGCTTCAGCGTAATTATCTATTTTCCTTTACTTTGTATATCTTGATGGCTTAAACATTGCTTTTAACTGCTCCAATGTTCAGCTAAATTCTGAATTGGATATTCACTGTTGTATGCAATGGGTAAGGTACACCTTCAAATGGGTCTAGCTCTTATTTCTACACAAGCCTGGGTAAACATATTCTCCCACTAAACCTAGCGTGGCCAGTTTTGGAAGCCATCAGAAATGTAAACTGTGAGGAGAAATAACTAAGGGCGGAGAGGGAGCATGTCGTACCTGCCTATACTGATACTATGTCTGGAAGAGCACCAGGGCTTAACAGACATAAATCACTATTGGCAGATCAGAAGTCAGGTAGTTTGTAACTTAGGTTAGTATACAACAGTAAGATGTTGCACTATTAAGCACTGCACACTATTCTTCCATGATCTCTGACATCCTATGATGCCTCTATCTTCAGCCCCTTTATAAATGATGTTCATGAGTATGTATGTACATATACTGGCCACCTGCTATAACTGATTCCCATGTTTTCTTTCTTTCTTAATATCAAAGGTCCCCCATCCTGCATTATGATCTATGTAGGCAGACTGCCGCACCCACACCGTTGACCTCATTGACTTCCCAAGAGGGTTACACTGCAGGATTGAGACATAAATACATAACATAATGTTGCATTCGCACAGCATCTTCTCTCCAGAGGGATCTCAGAGCACTCTATAATACATTCACTTCTAGGGTGAAGGATGGCAATCAATGGATGCCGTATGTGAAAACTGGACCAGCTTATTCTTGACTTCCCTGAAAAATATTGCACACTTTATAACCTTCCATGACCTATTTCTTAATAAACAGCAATATTTTTCAGAAAACCTATGTAAACACCCTTAAACTTGCAAGGTAACTAATGTCAGGAAAATCAATATGAAGGTTGATTACACTTTGTCCTTAACTCACACCACTGTGAATGGATAAAATACTGTATATTGGACCAAGTTAAGAATGGTATGCTAGTTTGAAAACTGAAATGCTTTACTTCCATCAATTTGGATCATAAAATTGAGATTCATAGATTCCCAGGCAAGCAGGGACCATTGTGATCTAGTCTGACTTCCTCTATAACACAGGCCATAGAACTTCCCCAAAATAATTCCTAGAGCAGAGCTTTCAGAAAAACAGCCAATCTTAATGTTAAAATTGTGAATGATGGAGAATTCACCATGACCTTTGGGAAATTGTTCCAGTAGGTAATTACTCTCTCTGTTAAAAGTTTACACCTTATCTCCAGTCTGAATTTGTCTAGCTTCAACTTCCAACCATTGGACCATGTTAGACCTTTCTCTGCTAGACTGAAGAGCCCATTATTAAATATTTGTTTCCCATGTAGGCACTTTTAAACTGTATTCAACTCACGCCCTAACCTTTTCTTTGTTAAGCTAAATAGGTTGAGCACCTTGAGTCTGTCACTATAAGGCAGTTATGGATCTTCTCTGAACCCTCCCCAGTTTTCAACATCCTTCTTGAATTATGGGCACCTGAACTGGACACCGTATTCCAGCACTGGGCACATCAGTGCCAAAGACAGAGGTAAAATAATCTCTCTACTCCTATGCAAGATTTCCCTGTTTATGCATAGAAAGATTGCATTAGTTCTTTTGGCCACAGCATCGCACTGGGAACTCGTGTTCAATAGATTATACACCACAACCCTCAAATCTTTTTCAGTCACAGCTCCCCAGTATCCCCCATTCTGTAAATATGTTCCATAGTCTTTGTTCCTAGATGTATACATTTACCTGTATTAAAACACACATAGTTTGCTTTTGCCCAGCTTACCAACCAATCCACATTGCTCTGTTTCAATGACCTGCCCTCTTCAGTATTTACCACTCCCCCAAATTTTGTGTCATTTGCAAACTTTAATCGATTGTTTTAGGTTTTCTACCAGGTCATTGATAAAAATGTTAAATAGCATAGGGCCAAGAACAGATCCCTGTGAGATCCTGCTGGAAACACACCTGCTTGATGAGGATTCCTGATTTCTATTTAATGTGTGCCATATTACTTTTATTGTTCTAGTTTTTTTTAAATCAAAATGTTATGCAAAACCAACTCAAACACCTGATGGAAGACTAAGTATATTTTACATCAACACTACCACCTTTATCAACCGAACTTGTAACTCATCAAAAAAAAAAAATCAAAGTAGTTGGACAGGTTCTATTTTCCATAAACTCATGTTGATAGGAATTAATTATATTAATCTCATTTGCTTCTTTATTAATCTAGTCCTGTGGCAGCAGCTCCCAGGATCAGTGTCAGACTGATACGCCTATAATTACCCAGGTTATCCCATTTACCGACACTTGATCACAGCATGGATACAGAGGTTAGGTTTTTTTGTTTTTGGTTTTTTTTAAGTAAATATGTAGCATTTTTAATCTTGTATTTGTCAGCAAATAGATTATCATTTTGATCACTGTGATTTATGAATTGTGATTGGAAGAAGCACATATGGTACGCAACTTTGAAGCAGAACATATTTAATAAAGAGAAAAGTACTGTATGAACATTCTAGTGGCACCTTAAAGACCAACAGATTTATGCTCCTCATTGTTTTTGTGGATACAGGCTAACACGACTACTCCTCTGATACTTGTATGAGCACTATGCTGCTTCTCTCATTCTCCAGTGGTTTTATGTATCCATACTAAATTCTTCTAAAACAGTGATACTCAGATTTCAGTGGTTCAGGTGCCAAATTAGCAATCAACATTACCCAAAAGAGCCACTGTAGTGTGAATTCATTGTTTCATTTATTCATATTATATAGTATATATATTATTCTCACAGCAAAATGACAGACCAAATATCATTATTTTATCAACTACAATTAGTTAATAACATAGTAAAAGCATCCTGATTGGTTAATAATTCAGTCACACAGTGTTTGAATATCATGGGCTGCAAAGACCCACAGGAGACACAATAAAGAGCCACTTGCAGCGTGGGAGTGTCAGTCTGAGTATCACTGGTCTAAAATAAAGGCTTAGCCCGACCTTTCCAGACATGTAAACCAAAGTAAACGTATTGGTTTAATTCATGACAATAATTTGGTATTTTGTTAGTACCTCAAATTGTGTGAAACGTTTTCTACCTGATATCCAAAGAAGTCCATCCACCACAGATCCTGCATGACATGAAAGGGATCTGTCAAAGGACTGAACAAAGGCCCACTTGTTCTTCTTGGGACAATACCGCTCGACTGTAGGCAAAACTTGACGCAGTTCATTTCGTCCCCCTACCGCATAGAGGTTCTCATCCACAGCTCCCAATACAAAATGTTCCCGGCAGTTCTTCATTGGAGCTATCTCAGCCCAAGAGTTACTACGGGGGTCATACCGACAGGCAGTCCTTACCGCACAAGTGCGGCCTGTGGCATGCTCAACCTCTCCACCAGCTACAAACAGAAAGTCTCCCATGACAGCTACACAGTGGTGACTTCTCCCAACAGGCATGGGAGCCAGTTCACTCCAGTTTGCAATCCCCGCTATGTGAACATTCTCCTGATCTACTGGATTGAAGTACCGGAGTTCTTTTACTTTACAAATCTCACGTTTTTTCCCACCGATAATGTAAAGAGTGTCCGACTGGAAGCGAGGTTTCGTCCGTTTGGTCTGCCAAACTGGCTGTGCATAGATGCTCTGGTGGTATGTCAAGGCCTCATTAATAAGTGCTGTCGCAGTTTCACTAGCTTGGACAAGAGGATGAGAAAGGGCTACAGTATGTAGTGTATCCACATCCATAAGGCCAAAGCGGACATACTGGAGAAGTTCATCCATGTACTGATAGCGGCAGTTGTGTTCCAACCACCTCACAGCTAGCTAAAAAGTAGGGAAAAACACAAACACAAAAAGCAATTATCTATATTAATGTCATGACAGTGTTTGCATTCCAAGAGGAACTATACATTTGAATTATTACACGCATAGAGCAATGTATGAGATACTTATGAGTACATAGATATCAATATATGAGATGCATTCTCAAATTTCATCTGCTATTTACATAAAAAGAAAATGATTATCTACTGTATTAATATATGATCATCATACTGCTATGTAGTAAATAACCTGTTCCTCTCCCTCTACAACATCAGGGGGTTGCTACACAAAATTAACAAGAAATGATAGCAGTTAGCAATGCTTTAGGAGCTCATAAGGTCCAAGTAATCTGTCAACATAGGAATCAAGCTCCTGGAGAAATATAATAAACAGAAGCTATTTGGTCATTGAAGACCACAGGGTACACTTGATTGGGGGGGGGGGAAATCAGGAAGATTATGGTATGGTGATTTAAGAAGAAAAGGCTTTTTCCCCTCCCCACCTCCCTTCATTCCTGTTTATAACCAAATACTGAAGGAAGAAAAATTAGGTAAGTATACCATGCATCAATGTTCTTCCTTCCTGATTTTTTAAACCATAATATTAATATGTATACACCCCCACACAATGCACAGAGGACAAAATTCAGATTAGTCGGGGTAACAACAGTGCCTTTCACCCTCATGTATTCTTTACCTTAAAAAATAAAATTGCCAGTCCCCCACCTCCTTGCCTGTTCAAATAAAAAACAAACGTTTTCTTGAAAAAATAGGTAGAAATATTAATCTGGGATAATGAATTGGAATGAAAGTTAAGAGAATAAACAAAGCTAGAAAACTAAAAACTTCCTCATATTAAAAATTAATGTAAATGCTTTAACCCCTTCACTACTGAATTCTCCTGCAGCTGTGGAATGCAGTGGTATTCGTCATTCCAGTGCCACCATAAAGCAGAACAGCAAAAAAGGACTGCAGAATGTCAGTGATGTACAGGTCCTGGGTGGTTCCAATGTGCATATAACATAGCTTGTTGAATAGTCAAGGAGCTAAATTAAAATAAATGTAAAACTGCTCATAATATGAAATCCCCAACTGAACAGTTTACTAAAGTAATATCCTCTTCTGTTTAGCTGCCATAACTTGAGTTTAATAGATTGCATTTCCCCATCTTCTAGTTGTTTCCACCACTGACACCTAAATCGGTATAAGGAACCCAGCTCTCAGCTCTACTTTAGGTAACAGTGATGTCACCAACTATAGAAAGAGAGAGATCTCTTATACCTTGTCTGGGGTAGCAAAAAGCCCTTATAGTTCACATTTAAAATGTATTTCTTTGTAATCTGTAATCTAATGTCTGTTAATTATTTAGAATCTCATCCCCTTTCTCCCTTTAGATTTTTTACCATATGTGTGTGCGCACGCACACCCGCACTCTGTGACTGTGACTATGGTATCTGGATATTTGAAGAGTTATTGAGCTGCAGCACAAGGAACCGAAATCTCCATTATGAGGCACTCAGCCTGCTGCGTGAACTACGGCAAAAGCAACTTCATTTATAAGCAGCTTCTGTGGTACCGACAGTGAAAGTATACATGATTTTGTGGGGCAGTATAAAGGCTTTGTTGGAACTGTGTATGGTCTATATAAAATATAAATATTTCTCTAAAAATGTGTGAAATACTATTAATATGTACACTGCACATACATGACAGGATTTAATGTCAGATTTGCCTATGCCCAGCTCCCCCACCCCAGCTTGTGCTGAGCACAGCATGGCTAATACAGTGATCCTAGGCCTACATTTGCAACTAGCATATATTAATATGATTCCTCGCTGGGCCTTTTCTAGGTAGGTAGGTAAGTATGCAGAAAGAAAGCCAAACGCTTTAGACTTGTTTGTTTTCATTCCCTTGTCTTGCTACTGGTAACGATGACGGCTGTGTCAATTTCAGTGTCTTGAGAAATGATATTTGCATAATCTTGTTTTTATAAAAGCCACAAAATCCACTAAATATGCCATTCAGCCTATATATTCACAGCACATGCAATGCCCTCCCTGTAATAGTGAAAGTTGCTGAGAAGCAGAATGCCTGGTGTTACAATGCTATCACAGAGCTGGCTTTAGGATGTGCAGTACCCTGTTGTCATAAAGGTAGGTCCCATGGCTTAATGCCTCAAAGACTTTGCCTCGGGGCTCCAGCAATCCAGTTTCCCTCCACAAGTCCAACTGAGACAGATTCCTGGTCACAGACTTTCACCCTCTTCAGGGATCAATACACGTCAGCAAGTATTTGCAGTGACATCAGGCAGCCTTTCCAACACAGAGTAAGCTTTATTAGTCTACTGGAATACATCACAAGGAAGTCCTTAGGTTAGCAGTGCACAGAAAGGCAAAAGTTCAAACATAGTCCATCCTGGTCAATGCCAGGGCTCCACCCAGTCAAGTCGTTGTGGAATCCACCTTAGCTGTCCCTCTCTGTCACCTCCAGGTGAGAGCTGTGTGCGACCCTGTGAGCTCAGCTCTTAAAACCACCAGACACCTTCCCCTTTGTTCTCCAGCTTCTGGCCTTTGCTCAGGTTCCCTGATGAGAGTGGGGGAAAATCTCCTCTTGACCACTGGTCTCTAGGTGTTAATGTCCCAGCCATTCGGTTTCCACAGTCTCATCAAATCCTTCCATTGATATGGGCTAATTCTAGCTAGCCCTGAACAATCCATTCATATCACTGCAGACAATTATGTGACAGTTTTAGATCAGAATCAGGCCTCAGAGATTGAAAACAAAACAGGACATTAAAAACAAACGTCAATAGATTTCTTCAGTTCTGTCTATAACATATAATGTGGAAAGAAAAAAGAAGCAGAGATTTTTTTTTTACACTAATTTTTTTCTGAACAACCTCTCTACATCTCACTGTGGAATTGTAATCAAACAAGCCAAAAGAAAAAGTCATAATTACCATAAGCACTTGGGACACAGTTTTAGACCTACTGATATTGATGAGACAAAATGAGTAATGAAAACAATGCATTCTTTATAGAAAGAGAACTCACTAACATTCGTCATCTATTTATGATCTGTGCCAAAATAATGGAGTTTGGGATTTATAACTTCAGTGCTTTATCTGGTTGTTTGTTTTCCAACTGACAAGCCTGCATTTCTATGTGAACCTACTATAGTGAAAATGGGTGTGTTGGCTGTAAAATATTCCTCCAGAACAAAATTTGGAAGTGTGATCTGGCCTCTGATTGGAGTTCAGGTAATTCAGGGGTTCTTAACCTTTTCCTTACTCCCCTCTTCCATGAAACCGCTTTCCCATCTGACTGGGACCCTCTCCCTTGTAGCAATATGGAAAGGGCATTGTGGCTGTGACCTCAACTCCTAGGGGGCTTGCAAGCCCAAGAATGAGCACTAATGAACCAATTGTTTATTAGGGGTCTGATCCAAAGCCCACTGAAGAAAATGGAAGGACTCTCTGATTCCAGTGGACTTTGGGTGGACCATTAGTGCATATTTATAAAAACAAATGGGACCAACCCAAATATTGCTTTTGGAAAAAAAGTACCAAATCCCATGAGCTTCTCAAAGCTAAGCTTACACATGAACATTTTAAAAAACAGATATGGAACAGGGTTGCTTGAAGTTGTTGGTCCCCAGGATATTAGAGAGACAAGGTGGGTAAAGTGATATAATTTAGTGGACCAACTTCTGTTGGTGAGACACAAGCTTTCAAGCTTACTTAGAGCTCTTCTTCAGGTCATGGGACAGAGTTAACCACAGGCGCCAACTCCACCCATCAGCTGCTCGGCAGGCCCTGCCGATCAGCTGTTTGGTGGCGGGTGGGAGAAGCTGGGGGAGGGGGCGGAGCAGGGGCAGGAAGAGGTGGCATGAGGGCAGGGTGAGCTTGGGGAGAGGGCGGAGCAGGAGTAAAAAGAGGTGGGACGGGGCTTCAGGAGAAGGGGCGGAGCCTCAGGGCACAGCAGTGGTGGAGCACTCACCCAGAAGACGAAAGTCAGCACCTCTGGAGTTAACAGTAGTCTTGTGACTAAGGCCTAGTCTTCACTTACCGGCTGGTCCGGAGGCACGCAATCGATGTTCTGGGATCGGTTTATCGCGTCTGGTT